CCCAGGCCCAGAGTTCAGGCCCCACGACCGGACCCCCCCCCAAAAAAAAAAAAACTTTAAAAAAAAAAAAGAAAAAAAATATCTCCCAGATTCTCTCATGAAATAGAAAGGGAAGGAATGCTACCAAACTCATCCTATAAAGTCCATGTTATAATTGTTCCAAGAATCAGGCAGAGACAGAGAACATGAAAGAATGTTGGATGCCAACATTGGTGGGGGTATATCACGAGACACTTGGATGCACTATTGCTCATTCCTGATGTGTTCACACCTAGAGACTACCATGTTCTGGGAGCCACTTAGTTGGGAGTAAATTGGGCACTAGACAACTTTTTACTTTTTTTTTTTGTCGATGGTGGGGCTTGAACTCCGGGCGTAGGTGCTGTCCCTCAGCTCTTCAGCTCAAGGCGAGCGCTCTACCACTTGAGCCACAGTGCCAGTTCTAGTTTTCTGGTGGTTTATTGGTGATCAGAGTCTCACGGACTTTCCTTGCCCGGGCTGGCTTTGAACAACGATCCTCAGATCTCAGCCTCTTGAGTAGCTAGGATGACAGGCGTGAGCCACTGGTGCCCGGCATCATTTTTATTTTTTATTTTTTTTAATCACTGAAAATGCTTTCTTCACACCTTTTCCTCTATAGTGCCTGAATGAGGTGACTTACACATCCAAAAGCCCCATAAAGGTCTTCAATGAAGACAAAGAAGAAAGGGGCAAAGATCTTGTTACCGTCCTTCTTCCATTTGAGTATAAAACTGAAGACAGACAGACAGACAGACAGACAGATGCAACAACCCCCGAAGCCAACCAGCATGCTCTGGTGAGCCGCTTACCCCTTCTCCAGGTACAATTCCATCAAGTGGCAGGCAGCATAGGGAGGAAGGATGCCGTTGTAGACATCTAGTGCCATCTGTAGGCCACTAACAGTAGTGTCATGCTACGGGGATTCCAAAGGGAAATCATGTGTCAGAGGTCATCTCTGGCTCAGACTGGATGCAGTTCACCCCCCCCCCCCCAGACCTTCAAGTAAATTTCCAATGGCTTAATAAGTAAGGGAGGGTAGTGTTGCTTGAGCAACATTACCACGTGCTACACAGATCTGTATATGGATTATTTCCAGGTGAAGTTACAACACCCAGTTAACTGAATGTCATTTAACCCTACATAGAATGAATTTGAGGGGCTGGGAAGGTGGCTCAGTGGTAGAGCGCTTGCCTTGCATGCCTGAGGCCCTGGGTTTGATTTCTCAGCACCACATAAGCAAAAAGAAAAATAGCCGGAAGTTGAGCTGAAGAGCTGAGGGACACAGTGCTCAGGCCCAGAGTTCAGGCCCCACAACTGGACCAAAAAAAAAAAAAAGAATGAACTTGAATCGAGTCTTCTGAATTTAACTGTCCTGCCTTATCTCAGTAAGGTGAATCTCTGTCTTTGATAATTTTTGTTGTTTTTCATTAAAGTTTTAATGTGATTTGGAACATATTAGTGCTAAATTATATTTTTCTTTTTTTCTTTTTGGTCAGTTGTGGGGCTTGAACTCTGGGCCTGGGCGCTGTCCCTCAGCTCTTCAGCTCAAGGCTAGCGGTCTACCACTTGAATTATAGCACCACTTCCGGTTTTCTGGTGGTTTATTGGAGATAGGAGTCTCACAGTCTTTCCTGCCCAGGCTGGCTTTGAACTGCGATCCTCAGATCTCAGCCTCCTGAGTGGCTAGGATTACAGGTGTGAGCCACCAGCGCCCGGCTTAAATTATATTTTTCTGAAGATTAAGATCATTTAAAAAATTTTTGGTGGGAGGAGGGAAGTGCAGTATTGAGGTTTGAACTCAGGGATTTGTGTTAGTACTCCCCCATTGAAACCACACATCTCCTCCCCTCCAACTCCGGCCTCTTTTTGCTTTTAGTTTAGTTTTCTGGTACTGTCTCTGCTTTTTGGCCTACGTCCAGTTTTGGACATAGCCCTCTTTATCTTCAACTGCTGTATAGCTGGAATTACAGAGGTATGCTGCCATGCTCAGCTTAGGTTTTAGCATCCTGTAAGAGCGTAGGAGGGCCGTACATGTTTAGGGAAGTTTAGATAGAAGGAAGTAGAGAGTGTAGCATAATTCATATAAATAAAGTGTTTGCCTGACAGTGGACAGAAGCCAGGGGGTGGGGGGTTGGTTTTCAGTTCCTCTTTGGACACAAGTGAGCTATCTAATTGTAGCTAAGACTCGTCGCCCACGTCTTACATAAAATAGGGCCAACATTCGGCTGCCTAAACCATGTGGCAATGTACATATAGTGCAAAAGAACGTGAACCAATCTGAGAAGAAAAGGGACAAAGTAGAGGCTGGGTGTTGACAGCTCACACCTGTTATCCTAGCAACTCAGGAGGCTGAGATCTGAGGATCATGGTTCAAAGCCAGCCCAGTCAGGAAAAGTCCATGAGACTCTCATCTCCATTTAACCACCAAAATAAATAAATAAACGGAAGCTGCAAGTGGTGCTGTGGGTCAAGTGGTAGAGTGCTAGCCTTGAGCACAAAAGCTCCAGGACAGCACCCAGGCCCTGAGGTCAAAACCCAGGACCAGCACACACACACACACACACACACACACACACACACACACACACACTGAATTAATGGGGTGTTGCCCTCCTAAAGACTATGGGCTTGAACAAATGGATGCTTGAGCAGATGAAAACAAGCCATACTTACCGCAGAATACATAACAAGTTTCCTGTATTTTTCTGTCTGAGTTGCACTCTTCAGGTGCTTGAGGATCTCCTTGACCAGAACACCTTGAAGGAGGTAGATAAAACCAGGGAGCTGAACCAATCAGAAATATATATATTTGTCGATCGTGGGGTTTGAACTCTGGGCCTGGGTGTTGTCTCTCAGCTCTTCAGCTTCAGGCAAGAGCGCTCTACCACTTGAGCCATAGCACCACTTCTGGCTTCTTCTGTATATATGGTATATACAGAATCAAACCCAGGGCTTCATGCATGCTAGGCAAACGCTCTACCACCAAGCCACCTTCCCAGCCCCCCTAGCCTCAGTTTTAATAGCTATGTTGATTATATTTGGACCCGATTCCCATTTGGTGTCATGATCTGTCCAGTCAGCTGGCCTTGTAGGGCTCAGGCTCTAGCTGTAACCTGCCTGGTTCTGGATTCTTTATTCCACTTAGGCTGATTGTGAGGACTGAGCATCTTCCTGCCTGTATCTGCCAGTGTGATGAATAGGTGTCATGTGCTACCATGTGTCCCAAGTGTTCTGGGTGCCAGCAGCCCATGCTTTTAATCCTAGCTACTCAGGAGGCTGAGATCTGACAGTTCTTAGTTTAGAGGTAGCTTGAACAAGTGTATGCAGAGACTCTAATCTCGAATTAGCCAGCAAAAAGCCAGAAGTAAAGGTGTAGCTTGAGTGGTAGAGTGCCAATCATGAGCAAAACAACAACAACAACAATCCAAAAGAATAGAAGGCCCTGAGGTCAAGCCTCAGGACTGGCACACACATGTGCTCACACAGGCACACAAAGGGGCCAAGTTAAAGAAGAACATCATCCATTAAAAATCTCCACACTGCCAGGCACCGACGGCTCACGCCTGTCATCCTAGCTACTAAGGAGGCTGAGATCTGAGGATAGTGGTTCAAAACTAGCTTGGGCAAGAAAGTCCCTGAGACTCTTATCTCTAATGAACTCCCAGAAAACCAGAAATGGTGCTGTAGCTCAAGTGGTAGAGTGCTAGCTTGAGCTGAAGAGCTGAGGGACAGCACCCAGGCCCAGAGTTCAAGCCTTACAACTGACCAAAAAAAAAAAAAATCTCAACACTAGTGGAAACATTTGTCATAAGCTTGCCAATTGAAATACATGCTAAATTGTGTTGCATAATTAACCTACAAAATATGTTCTGCTAGCTTGAATAATGACCACCAGCCAGGGTTTCAGGAAAGGAAACTACCTTTGGTCAAACCAGCCACTTGGAAATTCACTCTGTAATCTTTCAGGCACAGTGGCTTCATTTTCCTGGGGTTCAGACCCCTCGCCTGAATTCTAGGGTAGGCAGTGATGTTCACATGGAAGAGAAGGAAATGCTCACTCAGTTCTGAGCCAGCACGGGGAAGACCAAGGCCCAGAGGAGATAAAAGAACGATTATAGTAACACAGCAATGGTTGACTTGTGTGCTGTACTAGATGCTGTGTTCTTTAAGCCTCTTCTTTAGAATACACATATTGGCTGGGAAGATGGCTCAGTGGTAGAGTGCTTGTCTTGCATGCACACAAAAACCCTGAAGTGGTGCTGTGGCTCAAGGGGTAGAGTGCTAGCCTTGATCCAAAGAAGCTCAGGGACAGTCCCCAGGCCCTGAGTTCAAGCATGTCTTAGATTATTCACTAGGATTCAGAACCTGATCCTCCAACCACAAAACCAAATACCACTCTCCTCATGTGCACACACACACACACACACACACACACACACACACAAGCATGTCATATATTTATATTAGTCATGCATTTGTGACTCACACCTGTAATCCTAGCTACTTAGGAAGCTAAGATCTGGGGGAAATCATGGTTCCAACTCATCCTAGGCAGAAGGAAGTCAGCAGGACCCCCAAAATAGACAGCCAAAGACTAGACTGGATGCATGGCTCAAGTGATAGAGCACCAACTGAAAAAGCAAGCCGAGCAAGCTTCAAATACTGGGTGTTGCCAAAAAGAAAAAATAAATACTCACCTCCCTGGAGTCTCGATTTCTCTTTCTGCTTGTGAATTCCGTAGAGAGACAGGAGAGATAATTCTGATAATTCTTTCAGCTTAGTCATGGTATCCTCCGTGGCCCAGGAGGGTAACGTAAAATTGTGGACACCCTGCAGCAGAGGGGGAAAAAAAGTGTGTGTGTGTGTAAAAAGAAGTAAAAAGCACAACAAAAGAAATCAATGAAAGACTTGTGGGAAGATACCTCAAGAAACTGAGAGTAGAGTTCAGTGAGAGACTGAACTCTTAGCATGCTTCAGGCCCTGGGTTTAATACCTATGGCAAGCAATACCAACAATCCCCAAGCCAAACTCTGCAGTCAGGAAGAAAGGGAATCTGAGCGCCAGTGGCTCGTGCCTGTCATCCTAGTTACTCAAGGAGGCTGAGATCTGAGAATCAAGGTTCAAAGCCAGCCTGGGCAGAAATATCCATGAGACTCTTATCTCTAGTTAACCACCAAAACAAAAAACAAACAAACAAAAAAAAAACAACAGAAGCAGAGATGTGTCTCACATAGTAAGAGTGCTAGCCTTGAGCAAAAAGGCTAAGGGATTATGTCCTGAATTCAAGCCCCAACATTGGCACAAAAGGGAAGGAAAAAAAATCCAAAATGGGTACAAAGCAGCTGGGTGGTCAGAAACTTGTCCTAAGGATTTAGTGAATTGGCTAGGAAGAGAGGACTTGCAATGACTCCTTTAGCCAGGAGATGGAGTCTGGTGAATGGAAATTACGGATCCTTTCAAATACGTCATGTCACACAGCAAAGGTCTTTCCTGCTCCCACACTTTTGACGACTTGTCTTACAGTTGGCTGGTTTATTTCTATAGCTCTAGTTCTAGAAATTGGGTAATTTAATTCTCTGTATAATGTTGTATAGCATTTGCTCTCTGCCTGTCTCTGTCTGCTTTTATGTCTGTCTGTCTTTCTCTTTCATTAACATTTTCAGCCAGGCCCCACAGGCTCACACCTGTAATCCTAACTACTCAAGAGGTTGAGATTGGAAGATCAAGGTTCAAAACCAGGCCAGGCAGGAAAAGTCCATGAGACTTTGATCTCCCAATTAATCAGAAATAAAAAGGAAGTAGAGCTGTGGTTGAAGTGCTAGAGCATCAGCCTTCAGCACAAAAGTGCCTCTACCTTAAATTCAAGCCCCAGTACTAGCACAATTAAACAAACAAACAAACAAACAAAAAACCCTCATGATGGGGGCTCAACTCCCTTCCTTCCTTCCTTCTTTTCTTTTCTTTCTTTCTTTTTTGTTAATTGCGGGCCTGAACTCTGGGCCTGGGTGCTGTCCCTTAGCTCTTCAGCTCAAGGCTAGCACTCTACCACTACAGCCACAGCCCCACTTCTGGATTTTTCTGCTTATGTGGTGCTAAGGAATTGAACCCAGGTCCTCATGCATGCAAGGCAAGCACACAGCATTTTCAATCTCTGCCAAATAATGAGTGACAATGTATGGGGGGAAAGGGCAGCTTTTGTTTACCATTCTCTAAAAGGATGAAAATGTCAACAGTGGAGAAAAGTCAACATTTTCAAGATGAGAATTATAGTTCTCCATCCATAGAAGTATAGGCAAATGGGCATGTATCATTACATCAGGTTGTAAATTAACCATGGTTTCCTTTCTTCTTTCTTTTCTTTTTTTTACCTCACAATATAAAGGGTCGTAGACTTTGCTCCAAATCCCAAAGAGGTCTCGTCCGTGGAATCCTGACAGCGATGGCAAAGTTTCGATAAAGTCCTAACCAAAAAAAAAAAAAAAGACACTCACGACACCAGTTTCTGGTCTTTTCACGTGTTTGGGTTCATCCTAGAAACCTGCAGATAGTAACCTCAACAGGGCCCTGATGTCTCCTGTCTGGTAAGTATGGAGAAACAGCCGACAGACACTGACTTCCTATCCCTCTCTACCACGTGAGACACCCTACCAATTCCACCCCGCCTTGCCCTTTTTTTGTGCATTGGTTATTATCAAGATCACATTTTGTCTTATGCCCAGGCCAGCCTGGGTTGTGAGTCTTCCCCATTGAACTTCTCCCCTCGCTGGGATAACAGGTAGGTAGGCCAGTATGCCCAGACATTAGACGAGATGGAGTCTAGCCAACCGTGATCTCCCTCTCTACCTAGCTACAATTACAGGCTTCAGCCACCACCACGCCTGGCTTGCACTTGGATCATTCTTGGGTTGCTGAGACCCGTGCTTAGTTATCTGACTGATGAGATCAGCAGTGATTTCTGGGGTCTTTTGGAAGGATAGAATTTGTCTGCTGCATATATACATATATATTTTTTCCCCCAGAAAAGTAGTTGTGCTAGTTCTAACCTTGACAGGTTTCCATAAAATTCCTTGCTTTATAATAATGGTTAAAGACCCCTTCCCCTCAAAAACAAACAAACAAACCCCACAAGAGCTCTAGGGTGAGGTAACTTCCTGGAAGAATTGCACTAAACTTTTCAAGTGGATTTTTTATTTTCTGTAGTCCTGGGGCTTGAACTCAGGGCCTGGGCACTGTCTCTGAGCTTCTTTTGGCTCAAGGTTAGCACGCTACCACTTAAGCCATGGCACCACTTCTGGCTTTTTCTGTGTATGTAGTACTGAGGAATCGAACCCAGGGCTTCATGCAGGTGAGGCAAGCACTCTACCACTAAGCCACCTTCCCAGCCCTCCATGAGATTTTTTTGTTTGTTTGCTTGCTTTTTGTCAGAGGTGGGGCCTGAACTCTGGGCCTGGGCGCTGTCCCTCAGCTCTTTAGCTCAATGCTAGCACCCTACCACATGAGCCACAGCACCACCTCCGGCTTTTTCTGCTTATGTGGTGCTGAGGAATCGAACCCAGGGCCTTATGCATGCAAGGCAAGCACTCTACCACTGAGCTACCTTCTCAGCCCATGAGATTTTTTTTAACTCTAATTAACCAGCAAAGCTTCCAAAGTAGAGCCATGGCTCTAATGAGTGCCAGCCTTGAGTGAAAAAAACTAAAGAAACAAGGTCTAGGCCCTGAGTTCAAATTCCTGTACTGGCTCACAAAAAAAGAAAGAAGGAAGGAAGAAAGGGAGGGATGGAAGGAAGGAAAACAAAAATATATCTATTCTAGTTCAAAAGCCAACACATGTAATTGGGAGAGGAAACAAACAAACAAACAAAAAAACCCAGGAAAATCAAAGACAAGGCAAGGAAGCCCAAAAGGGATACTGACATTGTAATCCTGCAACATAGTAACAAATGACATTGAAACGTCAGAACATTGTAGTATCTCAACCATGTAGCATCACCACATTGTGACAGTGTAACATTGTTACAGCACCAGGTGGTGACAGCATGGTGCTATCTGTGCTGGCCAATGCAAATAGCATGCATGAGGCCCTGGGTTCGATTCCTCAGCACCACATAAGCAAAAAGCAAAAAGCTGGAAGTGGCGCTGTGGCTCAAGTGGTAGAG